TCAATTTCATTTAACGTTTCAATCAAACCAACCAATTATTATCACGACAAAAAGAAAAACACATATACACTAAAAAATATTTATACTCAATTATTACCACAAAATATAAAAATAAATAAAAAAAAATAAAAAAAAAAAAAAAAAAAAAAAGAAGTCAGTATACTAAACTTCAATCTCCTTTTCTTTGATCTCGATTTCTCCTTCCTTACAAACAAATTGAAAATTAGTTTACGAGTTAGGTAATCGTAGAAAAATGTTAATAAATGTAATGTACCTTTAAATCATCGTCAGGGAAATACCATGCACCGTGAATGCATCAACATCTTCTTTGGCCAATATACTACTTCCACAAGAGACACACGACGTTGCTAAATTCAGCAATATAAAGATTTATATCCTTTTCCTTATTTGGGAATTCTAGTTTTCGGAGACGTCCAATTTCAATTTGTTTGTTGGGCTGTTCAACATGAAGATTAAATTCAAAAGGATCCAACGAGAAAATTGAGATTGAAGTTTAGGATGTTAATGACATTGCTGTTGATGTATTGCTTTTTAATATTATGCTTAGATTTTCCTACTTCACTTTAATTCAATTCTTATATACTTGTTTATGCTGAGTGCATGTTCGGCGTAACTTCAAATTCTGTTAAAAATATTAATTTTAACTTGAGAACTCGACAAGTTGTAGAATACGAGTATTCTCTCGAGAAAATAATACTCTCTCTAAAATATTTTATATGTTTTAGAAGAAGTAGATTTGAAAATTCTCGTCCCTTCTACACGTTACAACCTTGTACTCTTCTTTTTCCTTGCATCGTCTTCTAATTCTGGTTTGCTCATTATAATTGCTCTAGTATATAGATATTATCATTAAATTTTCACCACGCTACGCTCATTGTGAGTATCTGATTGAGCAAGGAAAGAAGCTCACCATCATAAATGTAAGCAAATATCAAAATTCACCAAAGTAAAATCCAAATTATATCATGAACCACAAAGAATCCCAAAATGAAGAAAGAAAATTAAGAGGCATTTTCTTCTGCCCCTGCTACTGCATCTCCAATATCTTTAATGGCCTCGAGGAGTCTGTCGATGTAGATACGAATGGTTGGTGCCGAATCAAATCTCTCTAAAAATTATAAGCACATTTGAGTATATATAATTTTCATTGATATATTATTAACTAAAATAAAAAGAATTTACCAGTGCTTGTGTAGATGTCACATAAACGGTCAAATAAGCAACGCCGCAATAATACTTTTCTTTGATTAAAAAAAAAAATATAGGTTGCAAATGTGCTTGCAAATGATCGAATCAAACCGGATTGGTCTCCCTTCGCGACCAATCTCAAATAGCACATAAAAGAAAAGATGTGGCATGCAAACATGAGTTGCAATGGGGTCCTCCCTTCAAGTTGTATTACCATTAGGTGATGCAAGCAGGCAGCAATTATAGTTGCTGTTGCTTGGTACTTTCCAAGGTACGTGAATACTATTACAATGTAATAGTAGGCGCTCTTGACAAGGTTGTATATCGGAATCCCAATGACGATTAATGCCAATACTGTTGCCAAAATAACAACCCAATTATGTGGAACTACCTTTGCTGTGACAATATTAAAAACTAAAAAGAAATAAAATGCAAAGTCCCAATATGAAGGAAGCTTGCCAAAAATAAAATGTGGAGCAGCTCATTTGATCATCGACATCTCTGCCCCTCTCAATATCATTCATGTTTCAATATTAAAAGTAGAATAGTAAAATTTAAGTAATTTTGACAACAAATATTTTGACTAAATCAATTTAAGGGGCCGAGGTCTATACTTGAAAGTTTTCCCATCTTCTAAGAGAAGATGGTAGGCTTAGTAGGGCTAGAAACTACCATATCACCGTTATGAGTGGTAAGTTTCAACCAATTAAACTATAAGCCCATGGGAAAAAGATACTATTTTTTTCTCCACCTTTGTCATGACCTAGGTAGGTAGGAATTGTAAAAGCAAATTTCATGACTTAGATGCTAGGACTAGTAGGGGGAGAACAACAATACAAAGGGAAAAATATTTGGCTTGTTTACAAGCAGATTACTGAGCTAGTGGGAGGGGGGATTTGGTGAGGAAAATGGGGAATACACCAAACACTTTTTTTTTCTTCATTTTTAGTTTTTATTGGTTTAGGATTATAATTGTCAATTTGTTGTGGTATATTTATTGAAAACACGTTTAAATTGTGGCGTAATTATAATGTAGCAAGTAAAAATGTGGTGGTAATATAATTACCCTTGAGATAATTAAGCATTCAAGTTCAAATCTGACGAGAACTGTTAAGGCCAGTTCATCAGTAATATTGCTTAGGTGCCAAGCAAATACCTTGACATTTTAGAAGGAATTTGCCTGTTATGGTGATGCATACGAAAGTTTTCTTCACTTTTTGGAGTTGAACGCAATTTTCTCTTTGATTGCCTCTACCAAAGTCACGAACTCTTTGAATGTGAAAGCTGAATATATAACATGCAAATGTCATTCATACTTGAGCATATAACGCACTCTCTATATTTCAAGTTTTTATCAACGATTCTATTTATGAACCTATTGAGACAGTAAAAAAAGAAGTACAAAAACTATTTAATTAAAGCATAATCTGTTTTACCCCTCGAAGGAATACACATTTACATCATACGACCCCTCTCTTTTATTTGTATAAGTAATTTCATGCACGAATTTTCTTCTTCTTATATATAGAAACACTAAAGATTTAAAATGCAATAAATGTCAAATGGAGAAATCCAAGAAAGGGGATAAAGAACCAGAAATGACAATTCTCGCAAAAGTATCCAAACAAATGTACAGACACTAGAAAATGCTGCCAAAAATCTCAAGAAGATTGAGATGTCGAACACGATGAATTTATCCTAGATGGACCCTAAAACATGCAGTGAATCAATAAAGACAAACAACTAATAATCAACGAAAACTGAATAAATAAAATACAAGTCCCTCAAGATTTCAAGAAGTTGAGAAATCGGATGAAAGAGAGAATCCAAGACTTGGAACAGCAGATATAAGTTGAATAACAAAGAAAATCAACAAAGGATAGAACAAAAACTGACAATCAGAAATGTAGAAAACATAAGTACAAAGATTCATTTTAACAGAAAATTTAAAATGAATTAATACAGAAAAATGCAGGAGAATTAGAAAATTATCGAAGAATAGTGCCCAGAAATTTCAAGAAGGGATGAGAACTGTACCTGAGTGAAATTTTCCACTTGGTCTGCTATTCTGTGTATGAAATCTTGTAAGCTTCAGAATAATGCAGGAGAATTAGAAAATTATCGAAGAATAGTGCCCAGAAATTTCAAGAAAGGATGAGAACTGTACCCGAGTGAAATTTTCCACTGGGTCTGCTATTCTGTGTATGAAATCTTGTAAGCTTCAGAATAATGCAGGAGAATTAGAAAATTATCGAAGAATAGTGCCCAGAAATTTCAAGAAAGGATGAGAACTGTACCCGAGTGAAATTTTCCACTGGGTCTGCTATTCTGTGTATGAAATCTTGTAAGCTTCAGAATAATGCAGGAGAATTAGAAAATTATCGAAGAATAGTGCCCAGAAATTTCAAGAAAGGATGAGAACTGTACCCGAGTGAAATTTTCCACTGGGTCTGCTATTCTGTGTATGAAATCTTGTAAGCTTCAGAATAATGCAGGAGAATTAGAAAATTATCGAAGAACAGTGCCCAGAAATTTCAAGAAAGGATGAGAACTGTACCCGAGTGAAATTTTCCACTGGGTCTGCTATTCTGTGTATGAAATCTTGTGGTTAACTAATATGAATCAAAGGAAGCTTCAGAAAAATGCAAGAGAATTAGAAAATTATCGAAGAAATATTCCTTTACACTTGAAAGAGAAAAAAGTATCTGGAAATTTATTTTGGCCGTTTTGGCGGTTCGAATCCGTTTTATACATTCACTTGCTAGAAGCTACGGCTACCTGATGAAATGTCACTGTTTTATAAACATGTTTTATGTGAACATTAAGATGCGAGTTTCTAAAGCTAGGAACATCCTTTGAAGCATCATGCATTGGTGATAAACTGCATCACTTGTAGTACCTTGTCATTGTTGGAATCTTGTATGGAAAATTGGTTTTTACCAATTTTAAAAGATTATTTAAGTGGAATTCAGTATTTGATGAATGAGAAATTAAGTCAAATTTTAATTTCTTAAATACGTAAATTGTTGGAAAATCG